GGAAGCAGTGGGGCAAGGGAAAGATATGCACTGAGTCCTTTGTCTTGAGGGTTTTCTCTCTCGTGCAGGCAGGAATCTTAGGGGAGGTCTCATGGGAGGGTTTCAGCAGAATATCCATCAATTCTCTAGGTGTGCCCTTTTAGGGTCAAGGTCTCCACTGGTTGGTCAGTGACAGGGCAGGGGGTTGTTAGTTATTGCATGTGGTCCTGGCATCACCCACCTGGTTTGGCTGCATTTCTGAGCCTGGAGCTGAAATACAACTGAGGCCTAGATGTTGTCTCCAGGGAAGTGACCTTCCGTATCTAGCTGTAATTTGCTCAGCTCTCTGTTTCAGTTTCTCCATTCTTCTTGCCAAGGAATTTTCCTAGTTTCTTACTATCCTGCCTCAGATGGATCCAAAGGGTATTATGCTGGGTGAAATAAGTCAGAGAAAGACAAGTACTATGTAATTTCACTTATATGTGGAATCTAAACAAAAAAATAAATGAATAAACAAAACAGAAACAGACTCACATAGAGGAAACTGATGTTTGCTAGAGGGGAGGGAATATGGGGGACTGGGTGAAAAAGTGAAGGAACTGAGAAGTACAGATTGGTAGTTACAAAATAGTCATGGGGATGTAAAGTACAGCATAGAGAATATAGTTAACAATATTGTAATAACTGTATATGGTGGTAGGTGGGTACTAGAAATATCAGGGGAAACATTTGGTAAAGTATGATTGTCTAACCACTAGGGATACACCTGAAACTAATACAAAATAATATTGAATGTAAACTGTAATTGAAAAAAAATTTTTAATTAAAGAAAAACTTAAAAAAAGAAGCTAGAAAGGGAAGAGCAAATAGACCCCAAATAAGAAAAGGAAAGATAACAATAAGGAAGATGCCTAGGGCCTTGGATGGCAGCAGCACCTGGAAGCAAACTGCCCTGCGAGGAGGAGGGGCTCTGGGGAGGCAGCTGCCCTGCAGCAGCCGGCAGCCACAAGCCCTGACAAGTCCGCTCAGGGCTCCTCTCTCCAGGCTGTCTTTGGTGGGAACGAAGGCATTGGTTAAGGCAGACCCCAGCGTGGTGCTCGTGGAACGGGAAGCCATCTTCCTTCTGGCTTGTGCTGCGGACTATATGCGAACTGTGTGTGCAGACTATAGCAAAAGATGCCCCTGCTGTGCTCAACTAGGAAAGAGGAAAACCCTCCAGAGGAGAGATGTGGGTAATGCAGTAAGAATGAATTTGCTTTTCCGGAAAATATTTTTGGTTTGATTGTTGCTTTGGGCACTTTTGTGAGCCTTCACCTACATCTTTCATCTAGAATCTGCAGACCTTAGCTTTGAAAAAAGTCTTTGGAAAGTCACACTCATATACTGTTCCTGTTCTAACTTAACCTAAGCCAGAATAAACAGAGACCTTACTTGTTCGTTTTTCTCTACAAGGTCTTCCACTGCTGTGTCTTCCTGGATGCAGCTGCTGCTGTTTGAAGCAGACACACATACACACAAAATGATTTGTGTAGTTTGCTTAATGAATGATAGGTACAAGAATAAAGGTCTCTGATCAACTTCAGAAAAAGAAGAAGGAGGAGAAGGAGGGGAAAAGGAGAAAGGAGTCATGTATGAAATAGAAAACAAAATAAACCTAAGCATAGCTATTTGAAAAGGTTAACAAAATTTATAAATCCCTAGCAAAATCCATCAAGAAAAAGAAAGGAAACACAAATGATCAAAATCAGAATAAAAGAGAGGATATCAATGACCTTTAAAGATAATAAGGGAATAGTGTGAACAACTTTATGGCAATATATTTGACAGCTCAGATAAAAGAGACAAATTCCTTGCCAAAATAACACATAGAGAAATAGAAAATCTCTATAGCACCATGTCTATTAAAGGATTTAAATTTATTATCAACCACCTCTCCCACCACATACACACACACAAATAACAAATAATGTCCAGGTCCAGGTGGTATTATTGGTAAATGCTATCAAACATTTCAGGAAAAAATAATACCAATATTATACAATTCGCAAGAAAATTAAGCTTATTTTATAAGGCCATCAGAACCTTGATCCCTAAGCCTTACAGACATTACAGAAAGAGAAAATTATAGATCAGTATCTCTCTTGAATGCAGACACAAAAATCCTTAACAGAGTGTTAGCAAGCCAAATATAGCAACATGTACAAAAATAATACATAATGCAAAGTGAAATTTAGCCCAGGAATTCGAAGACTAACATTTTGATGTTTATCAGGACCCTTTTAGGATCTCTGCTCCTTTGTCAACCTTAGGGTTATTTATGTCTCTGCTTCAGCTCTGTGTGACCCAGAACTGTCCTAAGGAAAGGAAAAGTCATGTCTTGACCCTAATGCATCTCAGGCCACTGCAGAGTGTTGCTCACTGGGTTGCACCTGTGCCTGCTGGGCTCCCTCGTGGTGCAAAGTGTCTAAAGTCCAAGGGGCGGGGAATGGGTATCCATGAGCTGGCAGGGCTGAGCCATTTAGCCCACTGACAAGGATGCAGAAAGGCCAGTGGGGAGAGAAAGTGCAGGTGGCCCAGCAGGTGCAGGAAGCCCACAAGAAAGGGATTGCAGATCCACCCCAGCAACCAGACCCACCTCACGGGTCTGGGACCCACTGCCCCTTCCCTGTTGCTCTGTCAGAGCTGGGCTGCCCCAGGCAGGAGGACAGGAGGATGGGGAGGGGAAAAATCCACACCTCTTTTTATATGATGTTTCATATTTAATTGGACATGAATTCATAAATACATGAGTATTTTGTATCTAATGGCTTTCTTTGCATTATTTCCAACAAACTCTTCAAAAGTAGCACCTTTCACTGGAGGAAACTGTGAAAAAATAACTACTAATGAATCATTGTAATGCCTATTGTGTGCCAGGTGCTATTTGAATGGAATATAAAACAAAAAAACAATTTCACACTTAGCAAGCTGACTTTTTGAATGCATAAACATGACAAACAGGACTTTCAGCCAAGATGGAGGCATAGGTAGACACACTGTGCCTCCTCACACAACCAAGATAGGGACAACAACAATTTAGAAACAGAAAAACCACCAGAACTGACAGAAAATTGAACTGTATGGAAGTTGGACGACCAAGGAGTTAAAATAGACACATTCATCCAGACCGGTAGAGGGGCAGAGTTGAGCAGCCAGGCAGAGGGGTCGAGAGTCACAAAGAGCATTGGGACCCGGCACGTAAGACCGAAGCGGGCAGACCCTGGGTGCGCAAGCAGAGGCTGGCAAACCCCGGCTAAGGGGTGGCAACCAGCAGACCCAGCGAGGCGGCGATTGTGAAGCAAGGTACTGCGTGCAACCCAGGATCCCAGCGCTGGGAAATAGAGCCCTGGGGTACTGATTGAAAACACCTGTGGGGGTTGAGGTGCAGGGAGAGACTCCCAGCCTCATAGGAGAGTTCGTTGGAGAGACCCACGGGGTCCTGGAACATACACAAGCCCAGCCACATGGGAATTAGCAACAGAAGGCCCAGTTTGCTTGGGGAAAGTGGGGGAAGGGACTGAAATAGGCAGAGAGTGGAACAAGCGCCATTGTTTCCTCTTGGACCCTGTCCCCACATACAGTGTCACAACCCAGCAACTGGGGTGCCCCATCCTGGTAGACACCTAAGGCTCTGCCCCTCATACATAACAGGTTCGACCAGACCAAAAAAAAAGGGAGAGAGAGAGAGAGAGAGAGGGAGAGAGATGGCTCAAACAGAAGAACAAATGAAAGCTCCAGAATCCATCCTTTTAAGCGACCAAGAGATAGCCAACCTATGAGATGCACAGTTCAAAACACTGGTGATCAGGATGCTCACAGAATTGGTTGATTTTGGTTGCAAATTAGATGAAAAAATGAAGGCTACAATAAGTGAAATGAAGAAAAATACACAGGGAACCAATAGTGATGGGAAGAAAGCTGGGTCTCACATCAATGGAGTGGACCAGAAGGAAGAAAGAAACAACTACACAGAAAAGAATGGAGAAATAAGAATTCAAAAAAATGAGGAGTGGCTTAGGAACCTCCAGGACATCTTTAAACGTCCCAACATCTGAATTATAGGGGTATCAGAAGGAGAAGAGGAAGAACAACAAGTAGAAAAGTTATTTGAACAAGTAATAAAGGAGAACTTCCCCAATCTGGCAAAGGAAATAGACTTCCAGGAAGTCCAGGAAGCTCCAAGAGTCCCAAAGAAGTTGGACCCAAGGAGGAACACGCCAAGGCACATCATAATTGCATTAGCCAAGGTAAAAATGAAGGAGAGAATCCTAGAAGCAGCAAGAGATAAGGAGATAGTCACCTACAAAGGAGTGCCCATCAGACTGTCAGCTGATTTCTCAAAAGATACCTTACAGGCAAGAAGGGGCTCGAAAGAAATATTCCAAGTCATGAAAGGCAAGGACCTACATCCCAGATTGCTCTATCCAGCAAAGCTTTCATTTAGAATGAAAGGGCAGATAAAGTACTTCTCAGATAAGGTCAAGTTAAAGGAGTTCATCATCACCAAGCCCTTATTTTATGAAATGTTAAAGGGACTTATCTAAGAAAAAGAAGATAAAAAACAGGTATAGTAAAATGACAGCAAACTCACAATTATTACAACCACCCCTAAAACAAAAACCAACTAAGCAAACAACTAGAACAGGAACAAAACCACACAAATGGAGAACACATCGAGGGTTAGCAACAGGGGAGTGGGAGGAGGAGAGAGGGGAAAAGGTACGGAGAATAAGTAGCATAGATGGTAGGTAGAAAATAGACAGGGGGAGGGCAAGAATAGTATGGGAAATGTAGAAGCTAAAGAACTTATGACACATGGACATGAACTAGAGGAGGGGGATATGGGTGGGAGAGGGTGTGCAGGGTGGAGGGGGATGGAGGGAGGGTAATGGAATAGCTATAATAGCATAATCAATAAAATATTTTTAAAAAATAAACAAGGAAAAAAAACATGACAAACACTGATAAGGCTAATACTTTAGGTGGGACGCTCAAGTTCCCTGAGGAAGAGACACCTGAGCTGAAACCTGATTGGGAAGAAGCCATTCACTTGCATCTTCATCTGAAGACAGAGCATCCTCCACAGAAGGAACAGCAAAGGCAGGAACCACCTGTGTCTCAGGAATAGGAGACACCTCAGGATAGGACCTCAGAAGGAAGTGGGAGAGGTGTGTAAGCACCAAGAAACAAAGCAATAAAAAAACAAACCCCTAATGTTTCATCAATTATAGGCCTATTCTCACAGGTTTTAGAAATTGATATTTATGTGAGAATTACTTTGCAGAAGACAGATGCTTACACAAGAGCTAAGATTCTTTAGTAGTCAATCTGCATCCAAAAAGACCATGCTGGGGCTTCAGATTCACAAACTTATGTCTAATTGTGTTTAAGCCTCCAGGGATGGCCTCACGAGCAGACAACACAGGTCATACAAGCTTCCTGTACCTTTGCTGAGGTGACGGGTAAACCCCAAGCTTTTATGGTAGACCACATGGTCTTTTGTACAGCATATAAGAGGTGATGGTGTAGCCACTGGCCATCACACCTTTGGTAGAGTATCAGCCTCATCATTCCCGGGGGAAGCAAAGGGGTGCATGCGTGGTCACATGATATATAGTGATTTGTTTCTGGTGGCCTAATTCCCATGGGTCTTGCCACAAGGCCTGCTCCCATAATGGCCTATGCATAATCACCCATTTATTTCCATGCCATGTAGAAATCCATAACATTAGTTCCCAGTACACTATCCAACTATCTGTGCAAATAGTTAGAGGTGGTGCTTCATTTGCAACCACAAGCCCAAAGTTCTGCCCACTGGCTATTTTGACTGCAGTGTCAAACCAGATTGTGTCTGTTTCTGGTTGAATTGTCACAGCAGTCCACATGGTGGGCTGGTCCCTGCTGGACTCACATCCCCCGGGCACCCCGTACTGCTTAACTGCTGTCACCTGTTATGTGGATGGCAACTGAATGGGAGGATGCTCAGCATGACCCTACAGGGAATACAGGGGATGCTCAGCATGCCCTCACAAAACAGCTTTTACCACTCACACTTGCAAACCAAACTTCCCCACAGTGGTCTGCAGCCACAATCCTTGGAGCACATCAATGCCCAGGATATACTCAGAATGGGGGAATACAGTGTATTCACACCAGCGGCGGGACAAATGCCCAATACTCAGTGCACAGCCTTCACCCTTACACTGAGCCCCCCCAAACCATCAATAGAGGCCACAGGCCCCAGAAACTTTTCAGTGTTTCCATATAGGAGAGTACATTCTGCCCCTGTGTCCACTAAAGCCAGGACCTGCTGGACATTTGTAGGGACCAGTAGATAGCCAATTCCACATGGCAATCTCCGGTCCCTGTCTGCCCCCTGTAGACAGGTTCCTTGGCCCTCCCCCTATTCAAATTTCCAAAGGATATTTCCTCCCTTTTCTTGGGAGATTAGCACAACCTGGTGGTCTTCCAGAGGACAGGACTGGCCTCTCAGGTCATGTACCCGGGGTTTCCCTTTGCCTCCTTCTTCTGGGGCTGCAGGAAATGTTAGTCAGCTCCCAACTGTTTCCACAGTTCTAATAAGTAAGTGTTTGGCTTCCCATCAGTTTTTTTTTATCTTCTCTAGGCCCCAAAAGATCCATCCACATCTGGGACCTAGTCACCTACATGGGGTCACTCTTTGCCTGAGGAACAGAACGGGCTCCAGACACCACCAGAACTCCTTTCTGTTGCTGCTGACTCTCCGCCTTTCCCAGACTCACCACCATCATGACATCATTAATACAGTGCCCAGCATACCAGGCCAAAATAGCCACAACGGATGTAAAAGAAGAAGAGGGGACGTAACAGTAACACCAGATCCATCATTCCTACCGTAAAGCATTTGTCATTGGGGACTTGAGTATTGGGATTAAACATGGCCTGGCACATGCCCGACTCCTGTAAGATCTGCACTAAGTCCGTGTAGGACTGCCATTTGCTCACAGTGTCTGGTATGTCTCCTGCACCTGCTCATACTGTACGAATTGTAGCCATGACCCATTCCAACAGAGAATGAGATCCCTGCCCCCTCCCATTTCCACAGCTGTTTTGCAGCCTCTGATGTAGGGAGGGGTGAGCCATGATGCAAGCCAACTTTTCCATCTCATTATGAGTGCACATAATACTGTCTACCCCTAAATCCCAAAGGCTGGAGCCATGCTACCAAAGGCTCCCCAGGGCATTGCCAAAATTGCCTTACCAGATTGACTAGTTTGTCCTGTATATACGGACAATACATCGTGTGATCAACCAAGGGGGTGGGGCCAGACGGATGCCCCCCAGGCACCATGGGCTGCTGGGATTTCATCATCTGTATCACTACTAGGCAAGCCTGCAGGAAACCCAGTTCCCATCCCCTTCCTCTTCTGAATCTGTCACTACTATCAGGGAGGGGGTCACCAGGGCTCTGCTGAGGACCCCTGCGATTCTGCTATTTGGAGGTCTTCTTCCAGGGCCTAAACCTAAGCCTCCAAGGCTTTGTTCCCTTGAACTCTAGTAACTTCACTGCATCATGAAGTGCAGTCTCCATCACAGCTCGCAAAGCTGTAAGAAACACCCACCCCACGCCCACTCTCCTTGGCCACCAGGGCACTCAGCTTCTCCAGGGTCTCCCCTACCACCTGCAGTGCCCTCTCTACCATGCTGGGTATGCCACAAACATTGGGCCAGTCCTGGGGGGTGAGCCCAAGCTGCAAGGAGCCCTGCCACTGAATACTACACACTGGTGGCAGGCCACCCCGCTAATCCCCCTCCCAGAGGTCCTGATGGCTCCACACCGTACTGCGAGGAATCCTGCTGACTACACCAATTGTCCTGCAGCTGTTCAAGGCCAGGTAAGTTCACACGATATTTGGGCAGACAGAAGAAAATACACTGAGCTGTCAGAGTACTTAACATGCCTTTATTCCGGGGTGGGGTGATACATACGTGCCACAAGCTGCAAGTTGCACCGCAGGAAGTCCAAACTCCCTAATATACTAAGTACACACAAAGCTGGCAAGGTGCCAATACTGACCTTCAGTTATATAACAGAGCTTCATTCTATGCATGTGGGCCCCTACTCAAGGTCATACGACACTGCTAAGTTATGTTTCCCTGGACATCCAGGTGAGGGAGTCTGACTGATTCCATTATCCCTACACTGGCCAAGATGGAGGCCTATGTAGATATGCTTTGCTTCCTCACACAACCAAAAGAAGCATAACAGCCAATTTAAAAACAGAAAACAACCAGAACTGCCAGGAAATCAAACTGTATGGAAGCCTGAGAACCAACGAGTTAAAGAAGAAACATTCGTCCGGAGTGGTAGGAGAGGCAGAGATGGGCAGCCAGGGAAGAGAGGACGCATGGCAAGGTGATGGCTGGCAGACCAGGTGGGGAAGGCAGTGGCTGGCAGATGGGGCAATCCCACATTCGAATGCAGATAAACGGAGGAACAACTGGGGAGTGGGACAGACTGTGCCATCCAGTGTTCCGGCACCTGGCAAATAAAGCCTGAAAACCTTTGGCTGTAAAAAAAGTTTCTCATAAGCCTTTAGCTCAAAGTAATCTGTACATCACTGAGGCACAACTTAGGGTGGCTTGTTGTAAATCTGTTATTAGACTAAAGGGGTCCATTTGCCTGTGCACATCAAAGCCCAATCAAATGTAAACAAGAGTTTACAGCTAAGAAAACAAGGCTTTATTAGGTGAGGAAATGGTGCCAAGCCTGGTGTCCCAGGTAAGCCAGTGTGCAAAGACCTGGCTCCCGGGTGGCTTCCAGGGGATGGGTTACATGGGGGAAAATCATCGGTTGTGGTGGCTAAAGGAGTTGGCATCATGGGCAGGCAGTCATTGATCATCGTATTGGTCCCGATGTCAGCTGTGGCGTTGTTTTGCCTGGTTTCATGAGAGTGTGACCCGCTTTCACCTTCCTGGGGCTGATGAAGTCAAGACGCTATCTTTAGTTGGACAGAAACTCTTTCTGTGGTTAACAGATCTAAAGATTTGTTCCTGAAGCTGTTTGATACCTTTCTGATGTCCTAAGGCCTTAACAATTAAGAAAGAAAGTGAGCAAACAGAAAGAAGAAAGGGTTGTGTTAAAGAAGTGTAGTTTCTGCGGTCTAGCAAATCCCCCACATCAGTAAGAGGTAGAAAACATCATACTTAAAACATACAGATGCCACAAAAAGAGATAAAAATAGCAACAGAATTACTAATATATATATAGATAAGTCACAAGATTCTTTTTCTTGCCCCTGATGGTTTTTAAAGAAGTTGGGAGGAGTTTGAACATGAGACAGTTTAGCTGCTCCTGTTTTTAAAAGTGCCCCTATTCCAATTTTTCCCCTTCAGTTTCCCCAGCACCAGTCCTGGGCTGTGTTTACATTTCTGATTTACCCAGAAAGGGGCCTGGGGAGAGGAAATGCTGCCTTTTTAAAAAAATTTCTATCAGACTTTGAAAAACCAACTTCCAATTTTTCCAAATTTCTAGTCATTTTTAAAAATCCTTTAAAATCTATTCAAAATATACCAATTTTTATAATTTTATTCTCAGTAATCTTTTAAAAATTCCCACCTTATTGGGAAATCTCTAATTTTTCCCTCTTTTTTCCTCAATTCTCTTGTTAATTAACCTAATGTTTGTATTAGTATTTTAGGACCTAAAATAGGAAATTTAAAGGGCTTACGATTAGTTATATTTATTCATATCCAGTTGTTTTTTCCTTCTTCTTAAGTGTAGGGCAATTGTACTTACTTCTAATGTCTGACTTTTTACAGTACCTGCAAATATCTGAAGGTAAATAGGAAGGGGTCCGAGTGGACTTTTTAAAAAGATTTCTGTTCTTTCATCTTATTACTGACTAGTTATTATACCAATATGAGGCCTCTCTAAATTATTTCAGTTTAGAACTTTTTCTAATTCGAAACATGAATCATCTGGGCAGTGACAGTAAGATTTTAAAAGTGACTCAAACCAATAAGCAAAAGTTAAAGCAAAATCTTCCAAGTGCAAAGCCTGCAGCCATCACAGGTCCAACGGTTCATTGTCAGAGTTAGCTTAAGAAAGGTGCAGAGTCCTGTCTTTCAACAGGTGTTTTCAGAACACGGGGAATCTCATGCTTGCCCCCTTGAACAAAACAAGGTTTAAAATTCCCTAAGCTTAAGTTCGGCTGCTGCCTGATGCATATGTACCATCCTGCTGGTGGAGAAAATTTGCCATCTCTGGAAGTAATAGAATCAATAGAAAACAAAGCTACTCAAAACAAGTCTTACCTGGCACATTTGCCTAAGAAACTAGTTGCACAAATATTTTCTCCTGGCAATCTAAATTTGGAAGAAAAAAAAAAGAACTCTCACTACTTCTGATTTCTACCAAAAATGCTTACCACCTGACAGTTTTGGTCAGATGTCCATGATGTGTCAGCTAAGTCCAGGGAGTTAGCTGTGTTCCGGCCGATTTGGGGGGCTAAAAAAATTAGTAAGAGAACAGATGAGCTGGGGAAAATGGATAGCTACTGGTGATGGTATGGACTTTCTTGCTGGGGTGATAAAAATGTTCTAAAAGTTCTAAATGTTCTAAAGATGGTGTTCTAAAAATGAATGTATTAAAAAGAATTGACATGTACACCTCAAATGGGTGACATATAAATAATAATCAGTTATTAATTAAGTGAATTATATCTCACTAAAGCTGTTAAGAAAAGAAATATGGAGAATTGCCATGGTCTGAACTTTGAGAAGGCCCAGCATAAAAAAAAACTGAGGAGTGCAGTGGAGCTGTGGCCAAATGATTGACAGGCTTTTGTCTGAGAGAGGGCTGCATTTTATCTTGTTTCAATCCAGGCAGTTGAACTAGGCTCAACATACTGTTTTTATTTTAATTTCTTTTTCTTAAAATTTAACTTTCTACTTTAAAACACTCCCATGTTAAAAAAATTTTACAAAAATGAACAAAATATCTTTTCCTGATCCATTTTTAATTTTTCAATTACAGTTGACATACGTTATATTAGTTTCAGGTGTACACCCCAGTGATTAGACATTCTATAACTTGTTAAGTGGTCACCCTGATAAATCTTGTACCCATCTGCCACCATGCATAGTTACTCGAATATCATCGACCATGGTCCCTGTGCTGTACTTTACACCCCCATGACTATTCTGTAACTGCCACTTTGTACTTCTTAATCCCTTCATCTTTTCACCCATCCCCACAACACTCATCCCATCCAGCAAGCATCAAAATGTCCTCTGTATCTACGAGTTTATTTCTGTTCTGCTTGTTGTTTTATTTTTTATGTTAAATTATTGATAGATATGTGTTTACTGCCATTTTATTGTTCATGTTTTTCATCTTTCTTTTGATCTTCTTAAAGAAGACCCTTTAACATGTCACGTGATGCTGGTTTGGTGGTGATGATCTCCTTTAACCTTTTCTTGTTCAGAAAGTTCTTTATATGTCTTTAGATTCTAACTGATAGCTTTGCTGGGTAATTGGGTTGTAGGTCCTTGCTTTCATCACTCTGAATATTTCTTGCTAGTCTCTTGTGGCCTGCAAAGTTTCCATTGAAAAATCAACTGACAGTCTTATGGGACCTCCTTTTTATGTAACTAACTGCTTTTCTCTTGCTGCTTTTAAGATTCTCTGTTTTTCACCTTTGGCATTTTAATTATGATGTGTCTTGGTGTGGGCCTCTTTGGATTCATCTTGGTTGGGTCTTGCCGTGATTCCTGGACTTGCATATCTGTTTCCTTCACCAGGTTGGGAAAGTTTTCCATGATTGTTTTTTCAAATAGACTTTCAATTTCTTGCTCCCTCTCTTCTCCTTCTGGCACTCCCACAATACAAATATGCTTGAAGTTGTCCCAGAGACTCTTTACACTATCCTTGTATTTTTTTATTTTT